ATGGGGCCTTCCCGTGTAAGAACTGCCTGAACTGCATTCTGTCTGTCCACCACCGACCATCCACCTGTGCTCTGGATCGCCGCCAGGAGCTTCGGGGCTACAACGGCAGGCAATGCTGCCATCTTCTGGAGTTTGTAGAAATTACAACACTGGATCATTTTCAATCAAACGTTATTTAGTTTCAGGATTTGAAGGTTTAATAAAGAATCCTATTTAAAAGAAAGAAAAAGAAATATAGATTTGGATATAGTGGCATACATAGCTAATCCAAGTACTCAGAAGTCTGAGAAGGATAAAGAACTGGAGGCCAGCCTGAGCTACACAGTGGACTTGAAGCCAGCCTGGGAGAGGAAGGGAGGGAGGGAAGGAGGGAAGGAGGGAGGGAGAAGTGGGGAGGGGTTCCAATTACACATAATGATAATGTTCATCTTTTAAATCATAATGGTATTGTTAAATTGTAACTGTCTACATTGAACTCTGGAAAGGCTGCAATTTAGGAATTGCTGTTCTCTTTGAGTAAGTTGCATTTTTACTCTCAGATGATACCACCAAACTACTAACATTAAGTCAAGAAATCTAGCTTAGTGAAATGTGCTATGCAGTAGAATAGACTTCAGACCCTGCATGGTTGCTCCACCATTCAGACTGGCTGGTGGAGTAAACGGCCGGGCATCGTGGCAGACTTTTAGCAGAGGATGCGCTTTTTACTTAATTAATCCAGAACAGGTCATCTTAGGATGCTACGTCGCAAAATGATACTAATACAAAGCTGTTTGCTGCTTTATCACTAATATTATTAATAAGAAATAAAGTCCACAGATGATTTAGGTTGCCTGTGATGATGTGAAAACTATAAAACACTGAAAGACACCGTTTACGATGAGCAAATGAAAATGACTCTGATTGCAACTATAGAAGATGCTTACAGAGCATGGCCAAGAGGCCGAACTGTCTGCCGACGGGAAACGTCAGGAACCTTCTGTGCTGGGGTGAGTGAGCTGTGTCCTCCGTGGCGCCCTGGTTACTCTCCTCATGTTTGAAAAGCAAAGCAAGCAAACGATACTCCGGGGAGAAACTCCCAGCAGGGCCCCTTAACTGCACTCCCAGTTTTTAGAAAATGGTGGAAACACTTCTTCATTTTTTTCCCCCAAAAGACAATTATCAACCCAAATGGAAGCCCGTCCTCAGGGGAACAGGGGGGTCTCATGTGGGCTTCTCTTCTGTGTCTTTCTGTTTCTGCCTCTTTTCGCTCTCTGTTCTAGAACTTCCTCATCCTTCCAGGTCCCCTGTTTCCATCATCTCTCCCCTTGGTAAGGCTGGAGCAGGGAAGGCTGAAGACAGGTTCACCTCCTTTTGGCCTTATGCGGGACAGAGCTGGGAAAACAGTCCCTCGAGGGCTCCAGACTGACGCAGCTGAAGACGAATTGTGCCCCCCTTACTTGCACTCCGGCCTTTCCAAAGCACAGAGGAATATAAACCTACATAGTCTGGCCGGCCAGGGTGGGGGTAGAGCAAAGCCCACCACAGGGAGGAGATGGGGTGAGACAATAAAGCGATAGTGACCCGTGGTGGTTCACCTTCCCCTAGGCTCACAGGGCCTTCTTTTTTTTTTTTTTTTTTTTTTTTTTTTTTTTTTTTTTTTTTTTCTTTTTTTTTTTTTTATTAATTTATTTTGCAATACAATTCAGTTCTACATATCAGCCACGGATTCCCTTGTTCTCCCCCCTCCCGTCCCCCTCACCTTCCCCTCAACACCCCCCCCCCATTCCCATCTCCTCCAGGGCAAAGCCTTCCCCACAGACTGAGGTCAACCTGGTAGACTCAGTCCAGGTAGGTCTAGTCCCCTCCTCCCAGGCCGAGCCAAACAATCCTGCATAGGCCCCAGGTTTCAAACAGCCAACTCATGCAATGAGCACAAGATCTGGTCCCACTGCCTGGGTGCCTCCCAAACAGATCAAGTCAATCAACTGTCTCACCCACTCAGAGGGCCTGATCCAGTGGGGACCCCTCAGCCATTGGTTCATTGTTCATGTGTTTCCATTCATTTGGCCATTTGTCCCTGTGCTTTATCCAACCTTGGTCTCAACAACTCTCGCTCATATAAACCCTCCTCATTCTCGCTAATTGGACTCCCAGAGATCCACCCGGGGCCTAGTCATGGATCTCTGCATCCAGATCCCTCAGTAGTTGGATGAGGTTTCTAGTACAACAATTAGGGTGTTTGGCCATCCCATCACCAGAGTAGGTCAGTTCGGGCTCACAGGGCCTTCTTACCGCCGGGGAACTTCCAGCAGATCTGCAGGCCTATCGTTTATCAAGGCCGGACTGTGTTACACAAGAGGGCGGCAGCATTCCTTTCATGTCAGCCACACAATGAGGCCTCTGAGCAGTCCCTTCATGTTTATTCAGTTGTCTCAAACCGTAGTCAGGATCTGTGCGAAGGCAGAAGGGCTTTCTGACCGGGGGCCCTCTAACCTGAAGACACTTCTCTGGCTGTGATTTCTGTCCGGTGTGTCCTGGTACAAAGGCAGAGGGAGACCTTGTATACATGTAAATCCTGGTTTATCTTGACCATGAAGCCAGCGCTGATGGAAAAGCAGGGAGAGGAAAACTCAGGGGAGCCCCCCCCCTTAACTAAACCTGCCATAGGCAGTTTCTCAAAAGGCAAAACATCCTTGTTTGTTTTCTGATGACGGGCTGTGTCGTAATTGTTATCATCTGGGAGCTAATGAGGTGCACGTAGAGATACCAAAAGGCTGCTCTGGCTAACTTCTTGCCAGGGGAATCAAGCCTGCCTGTAAAACTGAGGAGCAGGGAGGACAGGGGGTTAGGGCTAGTGGGGAGCCGGGGTCCAATCCATCAAGTGAAATAGGGTTATAATTTGTTTAGGGTTTTTCTTCACCTGTACTCAGGCTTAACAATAGTGAGAAGGTTCCAGAATGGACTATTATAGGATAGTACAAGCTCTCTACACTGGCTACATTTTACAATGACCTGGTACCTTAAAACACCATCAAACCCCAAACTAACCCCAGGCTGATTCTAACCCCAGAACTTTATTAATGGAGCCAGAGCAGAGACTTTATAAACCCCCTCAGGTGGGCTGCAGGCAGGCCCGGGAGCCACCGTCATTGGATAGTGCAGTGGCACAGAAGTGGGTTATTTACATCCTCATCTCGTGTTCCCATGATCACTCATAACAGCAACATGGGCTGTGCATGAATTAAAGTTCTGATGAATAATTGCAGTTCTTGATGTCATAATTTACCAAGTGGTATCAGGCCATGAAACAGTTTAACTTCCTGCAGGGTGGATTGCACAGTGAGGAATCTCTTCTTTGCCCACATTTTCTTTTTTTCTTTCTTTATTTCTTTCTTTCTTTCTTTCTTTCTTTCTTTCTTTCTTTTTTTTTGTTTGTTTGTTTTTCGAGACAGGGTTTCTCTGTGTAGTTTTGGTGCCTGTCCTGGATCTCGCTCTGTAGACCAGGCTGGCCTCGAACTCACAGAGATCCACCTAGCTCTGCCTCCCGAGTGCTGGGATTAAAGGCGTGCACCACTACCACCCGGCCATTGCCTACATTTCCAAAGGCCAACATTTTACTGATTTTAACTGAATTTTACGTACTTTTTAATGTCACATTGATAACTCAGTCTAAAATCAATTTCATCTGAATAATATTAAATAATAAATGAATAAAATTAAAAGCCAGTAAGGTACAATCATTCTAAAGCCCAGTAAATACTTTTATCTTCAGCTAGTAAAAGACATTCAATATTTGAGTTAAGAAACAGAATACTATGCAATTACAAATACATTCGTGTGTTGTTACTATATAGATACATGTTGTATCATATTATATATGTATATATACATATATATGTATATATATATATTAGTGAGGATGAATATTAACCTGTCTTAATGAGTTTTCAAAATACTGTCACCTATGCCTCAAGCACCTAAGAGGCCCCAGAATGGGACAATTGTCTTTGAAGGAGCTGTGAGTTCACAGGAACTCTGACAATCACTACAAGGAGCCTAGAACCCAGACATACATGTGTGAGTGGGGTATAGCAGAATAATTCCAGGTCATGCTCCAGACGCCCTAAATTAAAATCTCAAAGGGAAGGACCAGAGAATGCACATGCATATTTAGATGTGTATATGCATGCATGTATATATCCTCAAAGGAACACAGCTTTGATCTTTGCAGGGAAAGATAAAGGCATCACACCTAAGTCTGGATTCTTTTAGCTCAGTGGTGGGGAAATCCACATGTCCTGCAGTGTGCATCCAAGGGTAAACACACCAGTCAGCCAGAAGTGCCAAGGTGAAATGTTTCCCTCCCAGATACAAATGCTTCAGGATTTTGTTTTCTTGGACCTTCTAGAATACGCAGATGAGCCTCTGGAAGAACAGTAAGAACTAATACTGATCTCAAACATCCTAAGCTTTTGATGTGGCCTCATACCAAAGCTAAGAATCCAATCTCCCCTCCTTATCTGTAGCAGGTGTATTTAGTGCATTATCACAAACACATACATCTTTGTTTTCAGTTATGTATATGTATGTGGGGGGGGAGGAGGTATGTGCACATGAGTACAGGTGTGCTTGGAGGCTAGAGGCATAAGAGCACCCTGGAGATGGAGTTACGGACAGTTGTGAGCCACCAAACGTGGGTGCTGGGACCCAACTTCAGGTCCTCTACATAAGCTGGATGAGCTCTTACCCAATAAACTGTCTCTCTGGCCCTCTTCAACATATCATTTTTATCATACTGCTACCTCAATTACAAAGAAATTTTTCATGAAGTAATTAAAGAAAAATATGTTTATCTTAATAAAATAAAATAATCAGAAATGTTGCAGAGAAAGAATTGCCTACCATGATTTATATCCTAATAATCAAAGGCACCATAATAAATAAGCACACAATTCCTCTGGGTATTATTATCTTTATTACAAAACAAATACTTTTTCATGAGGTAAAACTTCAATAGCACTTGACAAAAAAAAATTACAAAAAAACAAAAAACAGTCGAGTCCTATGTACAGAATGTTGCTATGTGCAACACATGTAAAAGACTCTGGATAGTTTGGGGAAAAAAATAAAGCTATACAACCTTGTTAAAATTATTTTTTTCTCCTATCTCCCCACCAAATTATCCATATCATCATCAATAAGGCAGTGTTTACAGAAGGTCCACAAAAGCACTGAATGGGGTAAATGAATTGGGGAAAAAAAAATATTTATCCAAGATAACCCATTGTGCCATGGCTTGAGAACTCCTTTACAAGCTAAACATTGATTGAATAAGATTTAATACTGTTTCCCTCAAGAATAAATAGAATTTATATTGTCTTCAGCTGAGAGATTCTATGGAACCCTCCAACTCAGGCTTTGCGGCCGTGAAACCCTCTAGTTCTCCAGGGCGAAGCTGGTCCCCCTTGCTGTGCCCCACACATTCTCTGCAGACCTCTGCCATGGCATGGGCCCCCTTCACTGGTGCTCTTTAATGTTTCCGTTTTGCCTGTCTCTCTATAGGCTCCTCGGGAGCAAAGTAGCCTGAAACACCCACCCGTCCCCAGCCCCTAGTGCTGTGCCTGGTGCTTCACAGAACCCCAGTAACTGTCGGGTGAGTGAGTCAGGGCAACTCCATCTGTGAGGCCACTGCGAGCACACCTTCCTTTGTTCACTCTCCCTGTGTGTGTTCCTACATCGTGTTCCGACATTACTTCAACTCCCTAGGAAACAGAGTAACGTGAGCCATTCCTCACAGAAAGAAAAGGTCCTGGCTTTACGTCTGATCAAACCATAAGTTACAGTTGCAGCGAACTCCCTCCTCTTGGCCCCCAAGACCCCCTCCTGTGAGAGCCCTTCCTGGGTCAGGCTGAGGCTAGTAGCCGTCTTGGCAATCATTGTCATCCTGGTCCCCGATGGGTTTGTTGTGGTACGCATCGACTGTGAGTTTCCTGCCGTCTGCCTCCATGTTTTTGGGGTGGCGGTCTTCCTCACTGCTCGATGTGCTCTCTGTAGAGTTGCTGTCCTCTTTGGACCTGCTGCTGTCCCGGGAGTCACTGTCACTCTCCTCCTGCTCAGACTGGCTCTCCTGGCTCCTGCTCTCCCCTGATGCGCTCTGGGACTGCAGGCCTTCCTGGCTGGAGCTGTCCCCATCCTGGGCCGACTCCTGACTCTCCTCCGACAGTCCGAGGCTCTCGCTGGACTGGCTGTCGGCTTGCTCCTCCGTGGACCGGCTCTCGGAGCTGGAGAGTGTGTTCAGGCTGTCCTCCTCACTGGACTCGCTGCTGTCGTCTCGGTCGCCCGCCTGACTGGTGTAATCTGGGTTGTCACCCCTGGGCTCGCCGGCCACCCCCTCCTGAGACTCACTGCTGCTTTCCTGGGACGGCCCACCGGCCTCCTCACTGGACTCACTGCTGGTGTCTTGTCCCTCTGGACTGTCTTCCTGGGACCGGCTCTCGGCTGTGTCCTCCTTGGAGACGGTGTCCTCTGTGGAGTCACTCTGGGTTTCCCTGCTCCTGCTGTCTGGGAGCTCACCTCTGTCATCTTCCTCGGAGACCTGGGACCTTCTGAAGGACTTACTGCTGGACAATTCCACAGACTGGCTGTCGTCCGGATCCCGAGCGCTCGTGAGCTCCTGGTCCCCTTTGGATTCTTTTGACCTGATGCCAGCGCTGCTCATCCTGGTGTGGCCCCGGTCGCTCCTGGTACCCTCGGGGTCATCACTCAGCATCCCTTCCTCATCATCAAACTCAGAGCCGTCCCCATGGCTGCTCTCCCCCTCACTGCCCCCTCCTACCCAATGTTCCTCGCTCTCGCTGGCCTGAGTGGAGTCACCGGCCTCAGGCCGGCTGTCTGCCTCATCCTCACGGTCCCTGCTGTCACTGGGGGCATCCTGGGCATGGTCTTCTTGAGAGTCTTCACTGGATTGTGTGGTGTCTGCCGAGTCCTCATCACTGTCCGGTCTGGAGCGTCCTCCCCATTCAGGTCCTGGGCCGTTGTCCTCGTCACCAAAGGTGTCGTCTCCACTGTCATCTTCGTCATCTTCCTTATCAGCTTCTGTCCCCACACTCTTAGAGAGACCACCCGCGGGTCTGTAAGCATGCTGGTCACCGTCAGAGTCCACATCCTCTTCAGACTCAGTGCTGTCGCTGGGGTCATCGTTCGCCTGAAGTCAAGGTAAACAGCTGCAGTCAGTGTCCAGAAGCTGAGGGAGAGGGAGCTATCTAAAGATGGGCTCTTTCCGCTTTTCCTCCATGTGTTCCCACATCGCTATCAGAACTTAAGTGAGAAGGAGGAATAGGTTGAAACTCAAGTGAATTCTTTCTTTCTGCTCTCTCTCTCTCTCTCTCTCTCTCTCTCTCTCTCTCTCTCTCTCTCCAGTATTTTATCCTGTAACGCACGCTACACTGACCTTGAACTTACTGTGTAGCCCAGGATGGACTTAAACTAACGGTGATCCTCCTGCCTCAACTGCTTGCGTGCTGGGATTGCAGACATGAGCCACCGTACCTAGGTACTTTCTCTTGTATATGGCGCATCCCTCACCGCTGCAGCCCTACACTGCCTCATGTATGATGCATCACACCTTTCTTCAGCAGCAGTTTCTACCCACCCTTGAGAAATGAGAGAATCCTAAGTCAATAAATCACAAACTCTCCCCTAAAGGGGCATTTTCCCAAATGCTATGGTTTTGAATTTCTGTAAGGTCTTTGATGAAAGTCTAGTAAATAAGGATAAGGAGGCTAAAGACTCATCTCCTAGACTTGGCCCTGTATAGGGTACAAAAGGAGTCTGCACTTCAGAAAGAGCCACACTCCTGCATCTGCTGAGTACTCACAGGACTGAGCGTAACAACAGAACAGAGCTAGGGAGATCACTCACTCGGTGGTAGAGCCCTCGCTTACCAAGTACACACACACACACACACACATACACACACACACACACACACACACACACACACACACACACACACACACACACACGATACCTTTAAATGAAAAAGTTCTGCCTTTCTTATCCCCCCAGGATCACATTGGAACTGTCTTAAAGAGACAGGCACCCCTAGAGCAGTTGTTTTTATTAAAGTCGTTACTTATCTAACATGGTCAACGTGTGCAGTGTGTATGTGTGTGTGTGTGTGTGTGTATGTGTGTGTGTGTGTGTGTGTGTGTGTGTGTGTGTGTGTGTGTGTTTTCAGTTGTTTTGGTTTTCCCCTTGTTTTGTCTTTTTTTTTTTTAGACGAAGAAGGACATTTAGGGACACAACATCTCATGTGATAAAAAACAAAGGAACAATATGTTCACATTTGAATTTTCTTCTCTCACTTTTCCTTTTTTATTTTATGGGACTGTTTATCCTGCATAACCAATGGTTAGAAAATATTATATTTAGAACCGTTGCCAGGTAATTTAATCTCCCATCATTTTCCCTTGAGTCCTAAGGAGCCAGAGAAGCTGAGGAAGCCTGTTTAATTACCTGTTCCTCTGAGCTAACTTTAGTCTCGTCTGATGACTCACTGTTCTGAAAGGGAAAAGAAAAATGTTTATTTCCCTTCTGTAATTTCCAAGGAAAAATATGATACGCATCACTTGCCCGACATTTGTATTCACTGCTTTCAGAACGGTGAAAGGAGACAGAGCACTAAAGTTACTTCACGAGACATTCATGACAGTAATAAGAGAGAGAGTTACCGTGGGGGGTGGTGGTGACTGAGCCAAACCGCCCTGTGTGAGGAAAGGAAAGCCGGTTATTCTCCAGGAGTAGTTATGTCGCTGCAAATATTTACAATCATTTCCGGTGATTTTTAAATTTGAGGGGTATGTGTCATACTCTTATATTATAATAGAATGTCTAAAATCTGAGGCAAAACATGTAAAAACCTGAGATATGTTGAAATAGATATGGAAGAATCCTGTATTTCTGACACCTTTCCAACTACGTCTGCTCTGAAGTTGGCTGCTCCTACAAGCAAAGGAAATGTAATATAGGACAACACTGGGACTCAGAATCCAGAGTCAGTCTCAGTTAACTCGCTGCCTCCTGGCTTTGACCTTCAAAACAGCCATCTTGGTGTTGGCATTGCCAGTCACGTGTCCAGGAACCTCTTAAGGCTCCGGTAATCTGGAATGCTGCTTATATCTGGAAGAGTGGGCAACTCTTGAACTGACTGACAGTTTCTTATTCATACGCTAAGAAAATGACCACGCACTGCGTGACACTACGAGATGGCTGAGAGTGAATTCAGCCAATGGCATGGGGACATCTTTGATACTGTTCAGTGTGATATAGACCAAAGAAACAATCCATTTTGAGTATTTCCACCTTACAAAATTCAGGAATAGACAGGATTGAATTGAGAAAGCCATTCAGCCCTTTGTGGAGTCTGCAGAGGACAATGACATCAATGTTAAATGTAACTGCAACGGTCACAGTTGCGATTTCTTTCACTTCCCCAGGTCTCATGAGAAGCCTAAGAACTGCTGGGCACATCTGCCTGGTCCTCTATCCCACCATCTCTGCTCTTCTCCTTCTCCTAAACACAGAGAAGTCCCATGGGACACACCCAAGGCACTAAACAGAAAGGGGACAGTTGCTACTGGCATATCTTCCACCTGCCTCTCAACAGTGCTAGTCTGGGGAATGTCAGAGAAAGGTGCTGTGAACATTTGTCTTTGCTCCAGGACGCAGCAAGCAGGCCCAACTGCAAACTACTCCAGTCAGCGATTGCTTGGAATTACCAGAAGAGAGCAAAACATTGGTGTCTTTCCCATGATTTGAGAGCAAGGCAAGTTGTAAGTCTCTGTTTAAATGAGAGAGAAGATTTACAATGGATGCTTTTAAATCAGTCAGCCAATGGACAAAAGTTCATAGTATATCCTGCAATCTCTATTCTTGCCCTAGGCAGGGCCAGGACCCAACTCCAGGCTTCTGACTTTGTTTGGTAAATAGTGAGAGTGTTGGGCCCAAGCTGCATCCTATAAAAAAGCCAACAGGAAGCCAAGCGATGTGCAAAGCACTCTGAGTTAGTCTTTAACCTTGACATGCAGCACCAGTCTCAAGAAGTGCAGACCTCCTGGGCCTGGCTCCCTTCTCAGGGGGATGAGAGGCGGCTGTGATCTATCATACGAAGTAAAAATGTAGACCCTTCAGCCACAGTGTCGCTAATGTAAGGTCTTCCTCTAGAGTTGGTTAAGAATATACCCTGGACAGACTACATCAATCCCTGTGCCTCCATTTCTGCTGATTACAGTGGAAATAAAATACACCTAGTTCATTGTGTTGGTGGGAAAATGAGAAATAGGAGTCATACGAAACAGTCAGAACTCTGCCCAGCAGCGGTTCTTGCGTGACTGGTAATTGGCAACCATGAAGCGACTGAGAGTTCAGCACTCAGTCAACATCACCATCGTACAAGGACTCTAGTGTCTTTTCATCTTTCTTCCCTCATTCCCGGGTTCTCTACTCCTTCCTTCTAGACAGCTCTTGTCTGCAGACTTCAAGTTCCGGTCTCTCAAGAACAGCAGGGTCATTGTTAGTCATCCCCATGTCCTGTGGTCCCCATCATTATAAAAACAGAACTTAAAAAGGTTTCCTCATCAAATTACACTACGTGGGAACTGAAGCATTATCTCCTTAAATGGACTAAAAGTCATAGTTCTTACTACCTGGTATTTACATGCTTTTGAGTTATCGCCAGTTTTATCATTTGCCATTGAGTCAACTAGGTTATACTAATCACATATTAAAATGAAAATATTTCAGAGTGTTTTATTTTCTACCTACCATCCACTCTTCTGAGCTCTCGGATTCAGTATTCTGATACCTGGCAACCTAGAAAGAAGAATAGACACAATAAACCCACGGGGGAATTCCCAAGGCAGCAATTATTAACCCTTCATATACTGGGGAGCAGTGATAGGTGACTTTTAGCCCATTTAGGACCACTGGGGGTCTTGCTAAAACTCAGCTTTCTATATCCATTCTCAGAGAATCTGGGTAGTGGGTCTGAGGTGAAATTCAAGAATGCGAATTTCTAACAGATGCCTAATTAATGCTGATTCTACAACTCAGAGGTGACGCTTTGAAGACCATTGCTATGAGGAAAAAGATGAGAATCATAGCTGTATGAACGGAGGTGAACAGAATAAGAAGTGACTTGGCTGATGTTTAAAGCTTCCTAAACAAATGACTATTGTTCTTATCTTACTGAAGGATGCACAACCACCTGGTTCATAGTCACTGAAAACAATGTTGTTTTCAGTATAAGAGGGTGATATCTCTACCATTATACTTACTGGGAGGGCACAGGCTAACCCCCACAGGAACATAAGTAGGATACCAGTCTTCATATTTGCATGTGATCTCTCCACCTGTAATGAAAGTCATGGATGTTTCACTTCATGATACAGAAACCAGGATGCTTTCATTTGTACTTTGTTTTTCCTATCAAAAAGCCCTCTTAAATATCTTCATCTTCTGATGAATAAGTGGACAGAGGATTCGTGCTGCATCTATATGATGGAACAGCATTTGACCACAAAATAGAACAAAGCACTGATATGTGCTGCAAAGTAGAGGAGCCTTGACAGCTATGCAGATTGAGAGGGAGACAGATAGACAAAAACACAGTTGTATGACTCATTCATATAAAGGGTCTAAAATGTGCAAAGCTCTAGGCGAAGAAAGCGGATTCGTGGTTTTCAGGGCTTAGAAAGATGGGGTGTTGAGAAGTGATGACTGGGAGGTGCAGATGTCTTTTGTAGGTGATGAAAATATCCTTAAAGGGATTATGGTAAACATTCACGTCTGAAAAGTACCGTATGCTTCAAACAGAGGAAGTACAATATAAATTACACCTCCATAAAACTGTTTAAAATGTCAACGAAAACCTCACTCTTCAGAGACAAAAAAATACCTCAAAGAGGACACCTACAAACATTTCTTTACTAATTCATAAGATATAAATGAGAAAATGGTTTAAAGAGAGAGAATAGAGAAGTTTCCAGATGAATATAAATAATAATTTAATATTAATAAGAATTTATAATAGTTCTGCGGTGTAGTATTACAGAGCAACCTAGCCAGCTTATTCCCCTAAAATTAACACCTCTTTCTCTCTCTGTCTCTCTGTCTCTCTCCCTCCCTCCCTCTCTCCCCCATGTGTATGTGTGTGGATGTGTGTGGATGTGTGTGTGTGTGTGTGTGTGTGTGTGTGTGTGTGTGTGTGCGCGTGTGCGTGTGCTCAGCCATTTTTATAGCTATATAATAAAGTCTAGACAAAAATAACTTGGTTTTGCACGTTTTGTTTTGGTCTTCAAGCCACGCGCTGGGGCAGGTTTCATATTACAGCCGCAGAAAGCTCTTACTGCCTGCTGTGGTGCATTCAGTCATACATTATACATGACTATGCTAAATTCTCTTAGGTGTCCTTCATAGCAAGGAAGGGTCTGGAGAAGACTGGAGGTTTGGGGTACGTTTGTGAGTCACATTGAGAGAAACAGCCCAAATCAAGCTGCACTTCATTTCAAACTTTGTGAACCACTGGTTTCAAAAATAATTTGTCCTTCATGTCAACACAGACCTACCCAACGCTGATGTAAAAAGCTATCAAGACACTTTGAAGGAAAATGATTTTCCGGTGGTAGTAAACCCTCACAGCTGCTCTGACAGACATACTTGATTTACTTTCATGTGCTTTTAAAAATTCTGCAAGTTCATTTCAGACTCCCTATTCATTAGTTTCTTTCTTTATATATAAATACATGTTATAAAGTGAAAAGACATTTAAGCCATAGATTCTCACCTTTGCCTATCTATTAGTATAAGACGGGAATTTTAAAAAATATTTTCTTTATTATAATTTTACATACTACATATTAATTTATTCTTAAGTTCTTTACCTAATATCACCTGGGAAGAACATATTAAAAAATCTTCAACTGTACCTAAAATAAGTCTAATTCAACAGATGTGGTTTCTTACAATCAAAGCATTTTTTAAAAGTTCTTAGATCCACTCTTTTGAAAAAGTTTTAAAAAAATTCCCAAATACAATTTTCTCAAAATAACTGCATGTCAATAGCTTTGACTTCCCAGGCGAAGGAAAGTTATGCAAATCTCCTTTACAATTTGAGGAGAGTTATAACTTCATAACTCTATCAAATATCACAGAAAACATCAGTGACAACTGAGTTCTCTTGCATTTCCTTTCATTTCTCTATTACCTAATAACAAAATGTGGAGATGCAATATGTAGTTTCTCTGAACCACTAAAGGTTGTGGGTGGGTTTCCACCAGGCATCGTTGTTGAAGTTTCTCAGGAGTGGAGTTGTGTGAAGCATAAGGAAGACGCACTTACTTGCTCAGGCCTCTAGAAATACCATTTACATCCCAATCTAAAACAGTAATTTCCCCCAGTAGAAGACTGGAATCCAAAACAAGACAACCTAGTGTCGTAGGAGAGCTGATGTTGGCTCCTAGAGAACATAGCCCCATTGAAGAAAATCAAATGTTAAAACCTATGTTGGGTCTTCAATAAGTACTTTTGCTGTGCTAATGATGTTTTTGTGAAGTATATTTCCAAATGAAAACACCAAACTTCTGTGAACTTTTTAGCTACTCTCCAAGAAAGAGTAGAAGATTCTGTGTTAACAGGTTAACCGGGTAGCTACAGGCCCATGTGTATATCCTGAGTCCAGAGCCACAAGCTCTCTCCTTCAATACCTAGTGAGAGGATCTCTGCATTCAATATATGGTCATTTCACAAGAGCACTCAAGTGAGGGAACTCAATGGCCATGACTTGACTCATCTATTCGGAAGTCACTGTACTAGTGTCTTTCTGCCCTCTGAATGGTTAGCCCAGAGTTGAAAAGATCTAGTAGTCAGGGTCTGGAAAGGGACTGTCGTCTAGTTTCCAAGTATGTCCAAAACTCTATGTTAAGTAAAGCAACTTGTTTTAGAATTTCCTCAAAGCTGAGTTTCACTCGTAAGGTACAGATCTTTGTGTAAACTGAAATGAAGGGATGGACAAAAGAAATCAGAGTGGAGAGTCACAGGCTCTTTTTAAACCCTTGGAAAATAACTTAGGTGTATTTTCTTCTTGTTGTTAACCTTGAGAATACTAACTAACAATATATTTACTTATTAGCCATTGAGAAATAGTTGTTAAGAACAGCCAATGTACCAGGCACTGTTCTAGGTGCTGAAAAACAATACTTATTATACTATAAAAGTAAAAAAAATGTTATTACTACAATCAACTAATCAGTGCCTACTTTAATTTCTTCACCATTACTCTTTGAAAATAAAGTGGAATTTGATCAGAATGTATATTCTATTAGAATTCAAAGCACTAAATGAGTAAATAAAATTTCCCTATCTTTCCTGTGACTGTGATTACCTCTAGGACAATTGCTGTCAACTCACTTTTATACACCTTCATCCACAGTGGGATAACCATGAAGTGCCCCAAATATAGGTAGTTTAAAAACAAGAAACCTCTACACATCTGAGACACCTTGATCCACATCACCATTTGGTGAACAGTAAACTGACTAAATAACCTTTAGAAAATTGTTTGTTCACATGTTTTTAATCAACAAGATTAAGGTAGGATAGGCCACAATAGTGTCAGTTAATCAGAAACTTGAGGTAACCAGGAGTCATCGCTCTTGAAGAGGACAACTTGCTTCCTCCATGCAGCATCTTCTAGATGTCATAAGGAGCACATGGCTTGACCACTCTCTGTGGTGGACAGATACTCCAGCTATTGATGAGGTGGTGTAAATGTAGAGAATAAAATCATGTCTGATGGGAATGTGTGAGTGTGTGTGTGTGTGTGTGTGTGTGTGTACCTGAGTGAACTGTCCTAGAAAATGTTCTAAATTACATTTAGAATCCCACTCAATCTTTATTGAAGCTGCATACAAAGCATTATACTAACGTGACTATCCAGCTACCCAAATACACACCATAATTATCATATGCTCGGTTCATCCCAATGGTCTTGGCATCACCTTTCAATTGCATACACAACTCATAATGACTACCATTGTTCTCTGAAAGGCTACATGCTGTTTAATTTACATGGCTGTGTTTTAAAACTCCTGCCACACAAATTTAGATCCTTTCGCACTTTCACATCTACATGTAAGAGTTTGATTAATTAAAGCTAAACTCCAAGGAGACTTTCCCATCAGCCCCTGTTTAGTAAACTTTCTCTTTCAGAAGTAATTATACAGAGATCCAATTAAAGCATTGCCAGGAAAACACCTGGCTTCTTTGACTTAACGTGTCATTTTAATATCATTTTCTCCTGTGACATTGACCACAAAAACAAAAATAAGAATCTGTTTTCCTCAAAGCTTAGCTCTCCACACCCTCCTCTGAGAATCAATACTTTGTAATATGTACATATTTCATATTTTTCAAACACCAAAGCAAAAGTTACTTTAAAAAATGGAGTGATGAAAATGTCTTACCCTCTCTAGTTCACAAGGTCTTTTCCCAAAAGGTCAAAAAACAAGTTGAAGTTCTCACAGAGGAATCTCGAAGAAGCGGCTCTCCAGCTGCTGCTCTGAGTGCCGACCAGCCTAACAGTGCAGAATTTAAACTCTGCTGCAGGTCCTCAGAAGCCAATCAGCCCCAGGCTGGTGGGGACTGACATCAGAGGTGTCACCGGGACCCCATCCACCCCCGCTTCCTCCAGCTGGCATAGTGGCCGTTCTCTAAAAAGCTCTTGTGGTTCTCAAATGACTAGACTAGTTCCCATTAAATTGAAGATCTTCCTAAAGCTTCATTTTGCTTTCTAAATATATGTCATTCACATCCATGCAAGCTTGTGGACATCACAAACAATGACAATGTCTCCCGCCCACTAACTGACCCCAGCAGACCCAGGGATGGGAAAAGGAGAGCCTGAGAGGGGCAGAAAATTTCCTGTTGATGCATATTTCCAGGTAGTACATGAGGGAAGCTACTCAAGGTTTAGATTTTCTTAAGTTGTTAGTGTTGAGAATATGGGCTTTTATTTCCTCTCTTCTTCTAACAGTCTCTACCCACCCCTTACCCCATCTGTACACAGAGACTCCAAATTCTTACAGATCTAAGGAAGCCATATACGCACAGTTTCATGTGAATAGGAAATGTTAAAGTACCTCCCTCAAGTAATTTTTATTTTTACCAACAAAAAAGAATTTAATCCTCCACTATCCCCTGAAACTACTTAGCACATTTTAGTAATTTTTGAAATCAGAACTGGATTAGAGGAATGCTAGCGAGGTGGATCGCATCCAAAGAAGTTTTGCCAGGAGAGTCGACTTCATCACCAAAAATGAAATGAAATGAATAAACACTGCTTACTAGAGTTCTTCCTGAGGAGTGTACTGAAGTTGGTTGAGGGTTCTGGAAGTGGGTTTGGCACCTGCTCAGGAGCATACTCAAATAACAATAGCATACCACTAAATAAACACTTGAATGATATAATATACGCCTCCAGGCTTTAATTTCCCCAAGAGTAAGGATGCTTGCTTTGTTAACTGAAGGATACGCAATGCCACAATGCCCCTAATACATGGGACAGCTCTTGGGTCATCATAAGTACTCAGTAAATATTTTGTTTTGAATGAATGGATGAATTGAGGTATACAATTACCTTGACTGAAGTGCCTGCACAACTCATTGACTTTTTTTAGAAACAACAACCTGGAAACCATTTTCAAATATGTAGATTATTAGACTTACTCAGTGTGAACTTAAAGTGGGGGGGGGGGCAGGGGCAGGATCTGGAGGGCCTTGGGCAGGGGGCAGGATCTGGAGGGCCTTGGGCAGGGGGCAGGAGCAGGATGTGTGGGGGAGGGGTCTATTTTCACACAGAGTTGGTTAGAAGGATAGTGTTCATGGAGCGAAGCTCTAAATGACACATGTTCTGTTCTGTTCTGTTCTGTTCTGTTCTGAATTACACTTCCTGGTGGCTCCACGATCCTGCCTGAAGTCTATCCTAGACAAACTGTATAATCTTAGGTCAAGAGTAGTTCTGGGAAGACTTGGGAAGAGGACATTTAGACTCTCCAAATCTCCACACCCAAACAGAGAACTAGCTAGATAACTAAAAATGAGACAATAGTTAAAACAAAATTGGATGTTTTATTATCTACTGCTGCATTAAACAAAAAAAAAAAAACTATCCTATACTTTGTATTTGAAAACAGCTGGTAGTTTATTGTCTCTTACAGAGGAGTCTGGAGTCATCTGGGAGTTTGACTGGATTGACTTCCAAGATAGCCCCTTCAAGGGGTTGTTCCATGGAATCTCAGCAAGAACCACCACTGTGTTCTGGCTGTGAACTGTCCGCATAGGTTGGTGTTCTCACAATATGGTGGCAGGGCCCTAACAGCTACCCAGAATGTCATTTTCTCCACATTCTATTGGTCACAAATCAGATTCAGAAGAGAACATAGACTCTACGTCACGATCTGAAGGTCAGGGTAGACGTGCAGAGAACAGGAAATGCCGAGGTGGGCTTTAAGATAAGTCTACTGTACGGCAGGCCAGTCCCACAAAACACAAATTGAGTGAGGACAAAACTGCCTGAGGCTTGAATTGTCTGTGCCAGTGAGCAGGGCACAGCGATGGGCTAGCTGTCGATGTGAGGGCAGGAGAGCCACAAATAACGAGAAGAAAATGTCCAAAGTTCATCATAGACTTACATGAAACTGTCAAAGCATGGAGAAAATAGAAAAATTTTCTGAAAGCTAAATGCATAAACCCCATAGACGCAATATACAACCTGATAGACAATGAAAGTATGCTAAAACGATCTAGTTAAGGGGGAGGAATACTACAATTTTCTATTTTAAAAGTAACAAATAAAATAGCACAACTGATTATGAAAACAAAATAAAATTTGAATTACCCGGAAATAGAGTCAAGAATCAAGAAAAGATCTAAAATAAAAGAAGAAAAATTATTTTGAAAGTAAAGAGTTATCAAAAATGAAAACAAGAAGAAAAAAATTAGAACAATCCCTTAAAAGAAATAGAAAAAATAAGAAAATTGCTTTGCACGTAAAAGAATTGAAGAGTGAGAAAGTGTTTAAGAAACAATGTGATGGGGCTGAGTAAATGGCTAAGTGCATGACGTGCTTGATGTGCGAGCCTCGGTGTCTCAGTTTGGGACCTCAGCACCATGTAAGGGCAGGATGCTGCACACCTGTGACCTCAGCACCATGTAAGGGCAGGAGAGGTACACACCTGTGACCTCAGCACCATGTAAGGGCAGGATGCTGCACACCTGTGACCTCAGCACCATGTAAGGGCAGGAGGGGTGCACACCTGTGACCTCAGCACCCATGTAAGGGCAGGATGCTGCACACCTGTGACCTCAGCACCATGTAAGGGCAGGATGCTGCACACCTGTGACCTCAGCACCATGTAAGGGCAGGAGAGGTACACACCTGTGACCTCAGCACCATGTAAGGGCAGGAGGGGTACACACCTGTGACCTCAGCACCATGTAAGGGCAGGAGGGGTGCACACCTGTGACCTCAGCATTGGAAGGCAGGGACAGGGGGATCTGGGTTTCATTAATCAGTCATGTTAGCTCAAACAATGAGCTTGGTTCATTGAAGAAACTCTGAAAACTTAAGGTGGAGATGCTGGAGAGACAGCTTAGGGGTAAAGTGTTTGCTGGGAAGGCCTCAGACCTGAGTTTTCCTTCCCGGAATCCAAATAAAGGTCGAGCATGGTGGCACTCATTTGTAATTGAAGCACTGAGGAAGGGACGGAGCAGAAAGAGGCAGGTCCTAGGGGCTTGCTGGTCAGTAGAGCCAAGAGGGCAAGCTCCCGGAGACCCTATTGCATATAAATAAATTAATAAATAAATAAAGTGGAGAGCAATGGAGGAAGATGCCCAATGTCAACTTCTTGTACACCCATACACACGTGTATACACACAGACACAAATCAATCGATCGATTAATAACATGGAGATTAATAGAAGGCACCCCAAGTCACTACACTTGGCACATACATGTACACACACACACACAGAGAGACAGAGAGAGAGAGAGAGAGAGAGAGAGAGAGAGAGAGAGACTTTTGTTGATAATGGTCACAGAAGATGCAGATTAGACGATAGGAGCCCTGAAGGTTTCTATAAGTGACCGTAGGTCTAGTAAAAACCGAGCAGCCAATAGCAAGGAAGGAGAGGGATAGGCGGGTCTGGCAGGCAGTGAGAACAAATAGGAGGAGAAATTTAGGCTCAAGAAAAGACAGAATGAGAAGGAGAAGAGAACAGTGAGAAAGAGGGGGACACACCTGGACGGGAATCCAGGCAGCCGCCAGACAGACAGACATGGAGACAGCAGGAGAGTAAGAGATACAGAAAGAAAGACAAGAAGCCCCAAGGCAAAACATAGATAAAGAGAAACAGATTAAAATAAGAGCTCATAATAAGGCTGATGAGTTATGCATATAACTAGTAAGAAGTCTCCGTGTCTTGATTTGGAGCTGGTTGGTGGCCCAAACGATAAAGCCTGCTACACACAAGCTGACAATCAAAATTAAGCACCACAGACACATCTTCACTGGCTGGGGGACGTCTACTTTCACTAGCCAGGGGCCACCTAGCAGGAGGCCGACGGGCCTGCCTGTTTCCACCTCCATAGCACAGAGTGAAGAGCATGAGCCTCCACATCTGGCTCTTTTGTACAGGGGTTACGGGGATGCCTTTGCAATAAATACTTATAGAATTATCTCCCCAGCCCACAGAGACATGTGCTAATAAAGCTACTGTTTCAATGGTAAAGAAAAGACTCAGGAACCACTTCCTCCAGCTGACTAAGGGACCTTTGCAGACAGACAGAAATCACTGAACCTGGCCCTGAGGGGTGCGTGTGACCCTACTGGTTCTCCAGGAGGTCCCGGCTACAGATTCAGAAACCCTAGGAGCCTGATTTGTTGTGTGCCAAGCCATGTCTGCCCAGTGCCTTCCAGGCCTTGTTGACCAGGTTCTTGTATCTGCCCCATGAGAGGTCACCTGTACCCCAGGCGAGACATCAATTCAATAGCAGAGAATGACCTTGAACTAACTCCTGCCTCTACTTCCAAAAGGCTGGTTACAGGCCTGTTCCACAACACTCTTGTTTTTTCTTGTTGGTTTTTTCTGATGCACGGTCTCATGCTGAGCACAGGCCAGCCTGGAACTTGGAGAATCTGCTCTGCCTCAGTCTTCCTGGTACTGAGGTCACCGGATTTGCACCGTGAGTTTTGCGACATTCCTTTTTCTTCTTTTTCCTTTTATTGAAAATAGACTTTTTTCACATAATATATCTTGATTGCCATCCCCCCACTACTCCCAATTTCCCAACCATCCTCTCCTATCCAGATCCACCCTCTTTCTGCTCTCATTAGAAAACAAGCATGTTTCTAAAGGATAATAATAAAATTAAATTAAATTAAACAAAAACTAACATATTGAGTCGAGCAGTGGTGGTGGACCCAGCACACAGGAGGCAGAGCCAGGCAGATCTCTGACTGTGAGGGTAGCCTGGCCTACAGAGTGAATTCC